TTGCATATGTTGAAGCAGCCTTGCATCCCTAGAATGAAGCCTACTTGATCATGGTGGATAAGCTTTTTGATGTGCTGCTGGATTTTGTTAGCCAGTATTTTATTGAAGATTTTTGCATCTATGTTGATCATGGATATTGGCCTGAAGTTTTCTTTTCTTGCTGTGTCTCTGCCGGCTTTTGGTATCAGGATGATGTTGGTCTCATAGAATGATTTGGGAAGGATTCCCTCTTTTTGGATTATTTGGAGCAGTTTGAGAAGGAATGGTACCAGCTCCTCTTTGTATGTCTGGGAGAATTCGGCTGTGATCCCATCTGGACCTGGGCTTTTTTTGGGTGGTAGGCTTTTAATTGCTGCCTCAACTTCAGACCTTGTTATTGGTCTATTCAGGGTTTTGACTTCTTTCTGGTGTAGGCTTGGGAGGATGCAAGTGTCCAGGAATTGATCCATTTCTTCTAGGTTTACTAGTTTATATGCATAGAGTTGTTTGTAATAATCTCTGATGATGGTTTGAATTTCTGTGGAATCTGTGTTGATATCCCCTCTATCATTTTTTATTACATCAAATTGATTCTTCTCTCTTTTCTTTTTTATTAATCTGGCTAGTGGTCTCTCTATTTTATTGTTCTTTTCAAAAAACCAGCTCCTGGATTTATTGATTTTTTGAAGGGGTTTTTGTGTCTCTTTCTCCTTCAGCTCTGCTCTGATCTTAGTAATTTCTTGTCTTCTACTAGCTTTTCAGTGTTTTTCATCTTGCTTCTCTAGCTATTTCAATTTTGATGATAGATTGTTGATTTTAGATCTTTCCTTGCTTCTAATGTGGGCATTTATTGCTTTGTATTTTCCTGTAGACATTGCTTTAAATGTGTCCCAGAGATTCTGGTATGTTTCATCTTTGTTCTCGCTGGTTTGGAAGAACATCTTTATTTCTGCCTCCATTCATTGTTTATCCAGTCAACATTCAAGAGCCAGTTGTTCAATTTCCATGAAGCTGTGTGGTTCTTAGTTAGTTTCTCAATTCTGATTTCTAACTTGATTGCAGTGAGAGACTGAGAGGTCTCAGTCTGAGAGACTGGTGGTCTGAGAGACTGTTTGTTATGATTTCTGTTCTTTAGCATTTACTGAGGAGTGATTTACTTTCAATTCTGTGGTCAATTTTAGGGTAGGTGTGGTCAATTTTAGGGTAGGTGTGATGTGGTGCTGAGAAGAATGTATATTCTGCGGATTTGGGGTAGAGAGTTCTGTAAATGTCTATTAGGTTTCCTTGATCCAGGTCTGAGTTTAAGTCCTGGATATCCTTGTTAATCTTCTATATCATTGATCTGTCTAATATTGACAATGGTATGTTAAAGCCTCCCACTATTATTGTGTGGGAGTCTAAGTCTCTTTGTAAGTCGTTAAGAACTTGCTTTATGTACCTGGGTGCTCCTGTATTGGGTGTGTATATACTTAGGATCATCAGCTCTTCGTAGTGCATTGATCCTTTTACCGTTATGTAAGGTCCTTTTTTATCTCTTTTGATCTTTGTTGGTGTAAAGGTTATTTTATCAGAGATGAGAATTGCAACTCCTGCTTTTATTTTGCTCTCCATTTGCTTGGTAAGTCTTCCTCCATCCCTTTATTTTGAGCCTTTGTGTATCCTTAGATGTGTGATGGGTTTCCTGGATACAGCACACTGGTGGGTTTTGGCTTTTTATCCAATTTGCTAGTCTGTGTCTTTTGATTGGGGCATTTAGCCCATTTACATTTAGGGTTAATATTGTTATGTATAGATTTGATCCTGCCATTTTGATGCTAGCTGGCTGTTTTGCCTGTTAGTTGATGCAGTTTCTTCATTGTGTTGATGCTCTTTACCATTTGGTATGTTTTTGGAGTGGCTGGTACTGGTTGTTCCTTTCTACGTTTAGTGCTTGTTTCAGGAGCTCTTGTAAAGGAGGCCTGGTGTTGATGAAATCTCTGAGTAATTGCTTGTTTATAAAGGATTTTATTTCTCCTTCATTTATGACGTTTAGTTTAGCTGGATATGAAATTCTGGGTTGAAAGTTCATTTCTTTAAGGATGTTGAATATTGGCCCCCACTCTCTTCTGGCTTGTAGTGTTTCTGCTGAGAGATCTGCTGTGAGTCTGATGGGCTTCCCCTTGTGGGCAACCAGATATTTCTCTCTGGCTGCCCTTAGCATTTTCTCCTTCATTTCAACCCTGGTCAATTTGATGCTTATGTGCCTTGGGGCTGCTCTTCTTGGGGAATAACTTTGTTGTGTTCTCTGTATTTCCTGGACTTGAATATTGGCCTGCCTTGTTAGGTTGGGGAAGTTTTCCTGGATAATATCCTGAAGAGTATTTTCCAGCTTGTATTCATTCTCTCCGTCACATTCATGTACACCTATCAAATGCAGATTATGTCTTTTCACATAGTCCCATATTTCTTGGAGACTTTGTTCTTTCCCTTTTACCCTTTTTTCTCTACTCTTGCCTTCTCATTTTATTTCATTGAGTTGATCTTCGACCTATGATATTCTTCCTTCTGCTCGGTCAATTCGGCTGTTGAAACTTATGTATGCTTTGTGAAGTTCTTGTGTTTTGTTTTTCAGCTCCATCAATTTGCTTATATTCCTGTCTCTCCTATGATTCTCTTTAGTGTTTTGTCAAATCTTTTTTCAACGTTCTTAGTTTCTTTGCATTGGGTTAGAACATGTTCTTTTAGCTCAGAGAATTTTCTTACTACCCACCTTCTGAAGCCTGATTCTGTCAATTTCTCACACTCTTTCTCCATCCAGCCTTGTTCCCTTGCTGGTGAGGAGTTGTGATCCCTTGGTGGAGGAAAGGTGTTCTAGATTTGGGTGTGTTCACCCATTTGCGCTGGTTTCTTTTCATCTTTGTGGATTTATCTACCTGTTATCTTTGCAGTTGTTGACTTTCAGATTGGTTCTCTGTGTGGACATTCAGTTTGTTGTTGATGAAATTGTTTCTTTCTGTTTCTTAGTTTTCCTTCTAACAGTCAGGCCCTTCTGCTTTAGGACTGCTGAGGTCCACTCCAGTCCCTGCTTACCTGGTGATCACCTGCAATGGGTGCGGAACAGTAAGGGCTGCTGCCAGTTTCTTCTTCTGCTATTTTTGTCCCAGAAGGATACCTGCCAGATGTCAGTCTGAGCTCTCCTTTATGAGGTGACTCTTTGTATATACGGGGGTCAGGGAGCTGCTTGAGGAGACAGTCTGTCCTTTATAGGAGCTTAAATACTGAGCTCTGAGCTCTGTTGTTCATTCAGAGCTGCTGGGCAGGTATGTTTTAGTCTGCTGCAGCAGAACTCATAAACGCCTTCTTTTTTTTCCTAGCTGCTCTGTCATCGGGAGGTAGGACTTCATGTATAAGTTTCTGTTGTGCTGCTGCCTTATATCAGGGCTGCCCTGCCCAGTGAGGAGGCAGCCTAGTCACTGTCTGCCTGAAGAGGCTTTGCTGAGCTGCTGTGGGCTCTGTCCATCTGCCATGTAAACTTCCCTACAATCCTGTTTATTCGGGTATAGTTAGAATTGCCTTGGCAATGGTGGCCCACCTCTGTAATGGTGGACTCTCTGTGTAATGGTGGGCTGCCTCAGCAATGGCAGACTACGTCCATAGTGTTGGACTGCCTCGGTAATGTCAAACACCCCCCTTCACATAACTGGACCATCCCAGGTTCAGCTGTGCTTGTCGTGAAACTCTCAATCTAGAGCATTGCAGATTGCTGTTTCTTTGTGAGGGTGAGACCAGCTGAGCCTGCTTACCTGTCTCCCTGACTCAGAACCCCCCCCTTTTTTTTTTTGAGTTGAATGGGCCACTCTGTATCCCAGGCTTTCCATTCACCTGTTGAAAAGGCTCCGGGATCTGTGTGATTTCTCGTGTGGTGACCCAGTGCACTGGCTTAAACAGCTGCGTGGAGATTTGTGGCACCTTTGTGCCTGAGAACCTCCTGACCTGGTTCCCTGTTTCAGTCCCTTTTTTATCAGTTGAATGGGTGACTCTGTCTCCCAGGAACTCTAATCGCCAGCCAAAATGGCCCCAGGACCCACATATTTTGTGCGGAGACCCGTTGCACCAGCCAATACAGCTGCACTGGCAACCTGGTGGCTCCTCCACCTGAGAATCTCCTCGTCTGTGGGCAATAAAAATCCATCTGGAAATGCAGCACCCACTCATTCTCTGTGCTTTCACTGGGAGCTGCAATCCTTAGCTGCTCCTAATTGGCCGCATTGAATTGAGTTTTTTTTCTGAGTCATTAAAACTCCCATTGTTAAAAGCTTTGCACACCATGAATTAAAATGAAAGAGGTAAAATGATCCAGATTGTGAAACAATATTAGGTTTGTGACTGTTCTAAAACTGGTAACATGGTTTAGGACCAATACTTGGCTTGTGAAATGTATAATCCTGGGAAGACACTTCATATATTTTGGCTCTGTGTTCCCACCCAAATCTCATGTTGAACTGTAATTCCCAGTGTTGTGGGAGGGACCTGGTGGGAGGTGATTGGATCATGGGCGTGGATTTTCCCTTTGCTATTTTTTTGATAGTGAGCTCTCACAAGATCTGGTGGTTTAAAAGTATGTAGCACTTCCCCCTTCACTCTCTTTCTCCTGACACCATATGAATATCTGCTTGCTTCTCCTTTGCCCTTCCACTATGATTGTAAGTTTCCTGAGGCTCCCCAGCCATGCCTCTTGTATAGCCTTTGGAATTATGAGTCAATTAAACCTATTTTCTTCATAAATTACCCAGTCTCATGTAGTTCTTTATAGAAATGTGAGGATGGACTAATAAAACAGCCAGTATTTCAGGTACATTTCTGCTACCTGAAGAATGACTTTAACATTTCATAGAGGGATTTCATTCAATTGCCACTTTCAATGCATGTTTTCTGATGGTATAGAAATTTCCCATGAAGGAAAGGTGATGTCATTATGGTAACTAAAAGGTTATTACAATGTGTATTTCTCTCATGGGGCATTCCTGGAAAAGTTTTCAATGATAAATGTACTCAGTTTACTGGAAAAGTTGTAAAACAGTTAAATAAGAGTAGAAATACAATGGCATTAGACAAAGCTAAATTAATTAGATATCTTGGTTAAAGTTATTGAATATTGATGTCATTCAGATTCACTTCCACTGGAAAATATAAGTTGAACATAAGTTCCCTAAGTTTTTCTTTTTGCTCACACTGTTGCCCAGGTGAGAACCTAACCAAAAGGGAGAAATTATTAAGCAAAATTATGAAAGGTGAGTGCTTGTGCTGAGGTCTTGCACTTTGCTCCTACAGATCAGACAAAACCAAAAATGAAGTCACTCACACTAAATGCCACATAATCAAATGGAAACTTTAAAGAAGCAGATAAGTCCTAAAACAGATCAGTGTTTTTTTTCCCCCCTGAAAATAAGAGATTTTAGTCTACTTGAGTCAACATACTAAGAAACTCCTACCTGCTTTAATCCTTCCAGAAGTGACTTAGGTGGCCTGATGTTAACCAATCAGGTTTTTCCCCTTGTTGTTCTGTTTGTTTGTCCCCACCTTACAAAATTCATTGTTTTGATATTTCCCTGTGGGATTTGAGACCAAATAAATCCATTATAATGGTGACAGAGAGTGCCTATAGTTTTTGTCCACATCTCAAAATTGAAAAGTTGACCAAAAGGACAGAACTATTAAATTAAGTTCAGCCTAAAGGCGTTTCTACATATTTTAAGTTTGTCCTAAATGTTTCTCCATATAGAGTCAACTGTGATCTACCTTGTGTCAACAGACTGTAATCCACTCTTGTAAAAAGTAGCTGAGTCTCAGTCAATCACAGTAGTTGAGTTTCAGTCAATCATAGGCAGCCAGCTGTTCAAATAAAGTTGAATTAAGGTGACACTGAATTCTAGCCAATCTAGCTGTCTCGGTACCTCACCTTCATTTTCTATATGTCACTTACACTTCTCTGGCTGTAAATATAACCTGCACATGTGATAGGGCAGAACATTTAGAACCATTTTGGTCTACACTGCTGCCTGATTCTAGAATCACAAATAAAAGCCATAAGATCTATAAAACCAGATTTGTTGTAATTTTATCTTTTAACAAATCTTATGAAGTCCAAAATAGGAAAATTGCATACTAAAATCTGATAATAGATGTGACTGTTACTGAAGCTCCTGTGTAAATTCAAGGGAAAAACAGAAGGAGCACATTGTAGGTGCTCAAAAATTTTAAAATAAATGTGATTCAGAGAAATATTGGCCATTTGCAGGAATTTGGGCTTATTATATTCATACTTTTCTGGATAATTAAAAATAATGTAAAAAGTGAAGTGGAAGCCCTCTTATCTGATTCTATATTTGGTCTTGTCACCATGAAAAACTATCCTCAGACTTGCAGATAAGTCATTTGGGTTTGCTTAAAGATTGATAAACCCAAATGTTCTGCCTTCCTTTTGTGAGAATTCTAGACTGTTGTCAGAATAAAGCTTTTATACCAGATACTGAGCTCAGTAATGTAAGAGCAGTGTATTTTTAAGGGTCAAAGGTTTACAGAAATATTCCCAGATGTCAATGCCAGATATTATGATTTGATTTTTAACCACAGACAGAATTCTTGCAATTTTGGTCACATAGGCTGAAGTTTATTTAATTAATTAATTTGTTTGTTTGTTTTAGTGTAAATTCATGATTTATTTTTGAAAGTGGAAATATTAAGTCACTGGGCATGAGTATTTTTGAAGCTCTTGATCCATATTGACAAACTATCGTCTAGAAAAGTTGCACTAAGGACGAAATCCCCTGCAATGTAGAAAAGGGTCCATTTCAAGCACCTCTCCAATATTGAGCAAAGTTCATTTTGGAATCATGCCATATACACATTACACATATGTTTTTATCTAAATACATACATTATATATATAATATTTATATTATATATATATAAAATGAGCATCTAAAGGAAAAAAACACTTCAGTGTTAGTTAATCAAAAAAGTTCATTAAAATGGAGATCATTCAAAAGAAAATAAATACCTTAAATATTTAACTTTAGAATAAAATGTATAAATGAATATTTTATCAGTCTTTTGGTAGAGGGTGAAATCATTTTTTTTGACAGAGTTTTGCTCTTGTTTCCCAGGCTGGAGTGCAATGGCATGATCTTGGCTGACTGCAACCTCTGCCTCAGGGTTCAAGCGATTCTCCTGCTTCAGCCTCCCAAGGAGCTGGGATTACAGGTGTGAACCACCATGCTTGGCTAATTTTGTATTTTTAATAAAGATGAGGTTTCACTATGTTAGGCTGGCTTGTCCCAAACTCCTGACCTCTGGTGATCCACCTGCCTCTGCCTCCCAAAGTGCTGGGATTACAGGCATAAACCACCTTTCCTGGCTGACGGAGGCTTTTGTTAAAAATTATTTTAAAGTAGTTTACTGATGTGAAGCTTTTAGGTTTAGAATATTTCAAAGTTTTTATTACTTCTATTATTTATCTTTTATAGTTTTCTTGTCTTTGTAGATTCAAAAGAAAGTTGTTTTCCCCAATTACCTTTCGTGAAGTCATTCCAAAGAATCCAACTTTGTTTTCTTTAACATTTTCTTTCTTTTTCAATGAATAATTACGTTGCATATTATTTAATTAGATATATTTAAAGCAAGTACAATTGACTTAAGTAATTCAGGATCAAATGATTGATGCCTGGAAAACAGGTACTTCATTCATGGGAGCTAGAGTGTAGAAGAACATCAGAGCCTACCTGCTTGATCCTGAGACTTCCTCTTGTTTTATGAGTCTGTCTATGTTTCAAAGTGGGAATGGAGAGCATTTGCTAGATAATTAATTGATGATCAGTTGAAAGAGACTCTATTTTACAAAGTTTTTGTTTGACCTACCAATAATATGAAAGGAACAGCATTTTATTATGAATTATTCATATAGTCTATTAATACTAACCAAATTTTTAGGTACTTGTATTTCCCTCACGAAAATATACTGATATAAATTGACCTGGCAATAGAGAGCATTTTGTGTTTGCTAACTGATTTGGTCCAAATTATTTCATATGCAACTGAAAAATATTTACTAATGAATTTAAATGCCTATTCTATCACAAGAGGGCACTCATGTCCCATTTTTAAAGCAAGTGCTATTTCAGGCATCAATTCTAGAGGAATTAAAACTGAAATAAAATTTAGACCTATACATTGAATTTCAACTTCATTAAACTGCTTTTTATCTGATGTAACTGGGGATTGGTGATTCTGTTTATGCAAATACAGAAATTTTTAATCCATATATTAAAACATAATTTTCACAGAATATAAAAATATGAAAAATTTGCCATGCTAAACAACACTTCATTTTTTGATGAATCATCCCAAGGTCTTCATTAAAGTAAAATTACTTCATTGATTGTAGAATTACTGAAATGGGATTTCTAATAATTTATCACAGTCAATCAACATTATTGAACATCTGCTCTTTGGTGTTTGTGTTCTTTGGACTAGAGATTTTGCTGTATTTTGCAATTCACTTAAAATTTTGGTTTAAATAGTTGTAGTTTGTATTAGTAATCTATTGCTGCCTAACAAATTACTCCAAACTATAGTGGTTTAAAAGAATAATCATTTATTATCTTATAATATCCGAGGGTCAGGATTCTTGGAGCAGTTGAGTAGGGTGCCTCTGGCTGAAAGTCCCTCACAAGATGGCAGTCAAGCTCTTAGCTTGGTCTGCAGTCATCTTAAAGTTTAACTGAGGCTGAACGATTTGCTTCCAAATGTACTCACATGGGCCCCTACATAGGGCAACCTGGCAAAACAGAAATTGGCTTCCTTCAGGTCAAATGATCTAAAGAGGAACAAGAGCGAGTATCCAAGATGAAGGCCACAGTCTCTTTATAGGTAATATTCAAAGTGACATCCCATTATTCTGCCATATTTTGTTTGTTAGAAATGAATCATTAAGTCCACCCATACTTAAAAGGCTGAGGGTTACATGGGGGTGTGAATATTTGGAGATGGAAATTACTGGGAACTAACAGAGAGGCTCTTATTACATAGCTGGATAAAGAAAGCATCATGTAAAGAAAGAAATGTCCCTAGGTAGATAGGATTAAGGATTATTATTTTGTTAGTAAATAAATTTGAATATGAAAGTGTTGTAGTATTCAATGTTTTAACCAGAATAGGATTAACACAAATATTTGAATTTGAGCTTAAGCTATTCTTTATTTTTTTGTTAAATCAGATTTTTCAGAAAAAAATAAGTAAAGAAACAAATAGGGAGAATTAGTAAAAAAAATTGCTAAGATACCAAAGAAAATGGAATTCAAAATGTTAAATTTTGGATTGAAAATATGGAGAGGACTAGATGGTGCTAGAACTGCTTTTACAGTCCACGTTCTGTAGACAGGGCCAGCCCTAGGCTGTGGTATGATATAGAATGTGCAAAAATCAGGTGACCAGTCCAAAGGTTTCCTTATGCTCCTGAAAGGAAACCCATATACCAAGAACTTTCTTGCTTCTTAAAGAATGGGTAAGGCAGTTGGTCTTTTTATTACTTTACTAGGAAATTTATTTTTCTTCTCAGGTTCTCCTTCCAGACTAATCCAGTTGTCACTTGTTCACCTTTACTATAAAAAGAGTGGATGGATTTTGCTAGTTTTGTAATGCCTTGATACTTAATCATTTGACTATTAGTTTCATGTTAACTTTGCAACTTTCCCAAGTGTAGACTAGAGTATGTTGCTTAGCCATTTTATTTTTCTATTTAAGTGTTTATTTAAAAATATTCATTTTATTTATTTTTAAAAGAGGTTATGCATTGACATAAGATCAAATTCAAGAGTTTTCACAAGGAAGATTTTAAAAGTTTCCCTCTCACTCCTGCCTCTCATTCCCTTCTCTCCCAATTTACCCATGTTTAGGATATTCTTTCTTAATTATTACCTACTTTCTTTTTGTCATGCAAAGAATGGGATTTTATATACACTCTTCTACTCTTTGTTAGTTAACAATATATCATGGCATTCTTGCCTCATTAGCACATAAAGTGCTTCTTCATTCTTATTTAATGGATGCATACTATTTC